TTCTGGGGGACTCCTCACATCCAAACCATAACAACAGTCATCTTGGCCAGGCAGTTGGCCTTTGTCTGGAACAGTGTTATCCTATTTGAAGATGAAACCCTATCTCTCTCAAACGTAAAGGTGTCTATTCTCCATTAAGGGGGGCTTTGGTTACTAGCTTTTTGGTGAGTTTTCCGTTTACAAAACAGAAGTTAAGGTTATTCTTGACGTTGTATTCTTCTAACCAATAAAGAGAAGTTACATCATATATATATATATATATATATATATATATACACACACACACACACACACACACACACACACACACACACCATACTGTTACTAACAATGTATTCTGGATTGGATACTGTCTTACTTTGGGCTGTTGTAACAAAAAAATACCAGAGACTAGGTAGCTTAAACAACAGAAATTTATTTCTCACAGTTCTGGAGGCTCTGAAGTCCAAAATCAAAACGCTAACAGATCTAGTGTCTGGTGAGGACTCTCATCCAGGTTTGCAGATGGCCACCTTCTCCCTGTATCCTCCACATGGTAGCGAGAGCAATCGTTCTCATTTCTCTTCTTATAAAGGCACTAATGCCTCACACTCACCACTAATTACTTTCAAAAGTCACACCTCCAAATACCATCACAATGGAGATTAGGATTCAACATACAAATTGGGGGTGAGGACACACATATTCAAGTCCATAGCAGACACCAAGCTTCCTACTTCATGGGACCAGCTACAAAATATGGAGTATGGAATAAGAGAGAGTGAGCTTTTTTTTTTTTTTGCTCCAAGCAACCCAGACTACATGTCAAATGTAAAACAAACTTTCAACAGACATTAAATATCACTTCTAAATTAAGAAGCACATCATTTACATAGACACTTGAAGGATTTTCTGCTCCACATTTACGGTTTGCCTTAACTGACATTTTAAAACAACTTTGATTGGGTCATTAACATCAGAGAATCCCAGCCTGCTACAGGCTTCCTAGGTTACCTTCATTCTGTTTCGGATTAGAAAAGAATCATACTAATGTATAGTTATTTACTATCAAGCCAAAAATAGCCAGGAATCAAGAGAGGTATAAAAAAGTGTTGTAGTGCAATCTGAAAATTTTAAAAGTTCCCAGTTTCAGATCAGGACTGCATTTCCTATTGTTTGTTCCACAGCTGAAAGTCCTGCTATTATTTTTATAGAATCCTTTCATGAAACATGTCACAATTCCACCAGTCTACCCAGTTATATCCTTGGTTGAAGCCAATCACGCTTGTGCACTGCTTCCCTCAGTAACAGAAAACCTGACGTCCATGTGGTCACTTCTTCAGTAAGACGCCATGTCATTATTCTATCTCTCTACTGAAGCACTCTTGAGAAACAGATGCCACTCATGTTTGAATCTCTACCTGTCCCTCATGCCAGACTGAATTTCTCTGAACGCAGACAGGGCTATAAGTTACCTTTGTATCCACAAAAAGGTCGACTCAAAAAATTGTGAATAGGGCTGCAGGCATAGCTCAGCTATAAAGTGTTAGTCTAGTATGTGCAAGGCCCCGGGTTCAGTCCCCCGCACTGCAAATAATGACAATGATGATGATGATGGTGGTGGTGGTGGTGGTGGTGAATTGAATTATCCATGGGTTTCAACACTTCTTAATTTAAAGGTTTCATTTTGTTTAGTCCTAATGACTAGAAGGGACAAATTTTCTGATCAACAGTAGCTTTTATCTGCTACTTGTCAGGGAATCTGGGTGTTTTCTAAACTATGCCTGAATTAAAGACAAGATATTGAAGTAAAACACTAGTGATTTGATTTGTTTTTTCTCCTTTAAATGCAGAAAGTACCCATTACCTGAAAATGTTCTTAAGGGGTTTCTGAATGAACTTTAACTATCATAGGTAGAGAATGGTAGATGTTAGAATAGCAAATCCAACCAAGCAGTATGTTTGCTCCCTTCGAGAACACTATTTGAGGCTGGGCATGGTGGCGCATGCCTATAATACCAGCTATTGGAGGAGGCTGAGGCAGGAAGATCCAAGTTCAAGGCCAGTATTCAGCAACTTAGTGAGACCCTTAGCAACTTAGCAAGTTAGTTGTTAATGAACCTTTATTTATTTATATGTGGTGCCAAGAATCAAACCCAGTGCCTCACACATGCTAGGCAGGCACTCTACCACTGAGCTACAACTCTAGCCCTAGCAAGAGCCTCTCTTAAAATTGTTTTACAAATTTTTAAAAAAGGACTGGGGGTGTATGTAGCTCAGTGGTCAAAACACCCCTGTGTTCAATCCCCAGTACAAAAACAAAACAAAACAAAAACAGTTTGGCTTCTAAATTCTAAAGAAAAGAGAAGCAAGCCCTCTCTCAAAAACCAAAGGTAGTGTGATAGGACTAGGGAACCTGTGGTATGACTTGAAGCAAGATGACAGATTACCAAACGAAACAGCAGGCCTCTTACATGGCCCCACTATACAGGTTTCACCCAAAACACAGAGCTTATAAACGGTCCCATATCATACAGTTTAGATTAAATAAGTCAGTGTGCTATTCTCTTGTTAATCTGTCATTTGTTATAGGAGCCTCAATCACAAACCTAAGTATTTTTTCTCCCTTCCTCATTTCTGCTTATCTCCCCTCACTTTGTACAGCACCTATAGCTGCAGAACCTCGGTGCTGGAGGCAATGCTGGTGAGTGCCAATGTCTAGCACTGACCTTAACAGAGGCTAGATCTGCATGGAACTAGGACCTATTTAAAAAAAAAAAAACAGTGCAAAGTAAGAAATAAAGTAGCAAAAGTGATCATTAAGATTGGGGCTGGGGCTGGGGATGTGGCTCAAGCAGTAGCGCGCTCGCCTGCCATGCGTGCGGCCCGGGTTCGATCCTCAGCACCACATACAAAGATGTTATGTCCGCCAATAACTAAAAAATAAATATTAAAAATTCTCTCTCTCTCTCTCTCTCTTCTCTTTAAAAAAAAAAGATTGGTGCTAAGCCAGGCACAGTGGCACACGCCTGTCATCCCAGCAGCTCAGGAGGCTGAGGCAGGAGAATTGCGAGTTCAAAGCCAGCCTCAGCAAAAGTGAGGCACTAACCCACTCAGTGAAACCCTGTCTCTAAATAAAATACAAAATAGGGCTGGGGATGAGGCTCAGTGGTCAAGCGCCCCTGAGTTCAATCCCCATATTCCCCCCCAAAAAAAGATTGGCACTAGATGGCTTATGAAGAAAAAAATTTTAAAATCTCTTCAGCTTCAATCCAAACTATACTTCAATCCAAATGAAGTATAGGCTGAGGCTGACAGCAAGTGGATGACAACACGGTCACTAAAACAGTATCAACATCCAACCAACTGCATCATCAGGGAAAGCCATCCCCACTAGGTCTCCTAGGTCTGGGTCCACCATCTTGAAACACTATGTGGCCAGGCACACATCTGGGTAAACTATTTACTCACTTTGCCCAAATAGCCTTCCTTGACTCTCCAGCTTGTCACAGGACCCCATTTTATTCTCTCTCACAAGCCCTTTTGTTCTTGTTCTTTGACACCCTCAGCTCCCTGAACATACAATTATAATTATGTACTTATTTCTCTATAGATTTAAAACCTGCCTGCCCCAAGAGACAGGCAAGTGCAAGAGGTAAGTGACTCCCTCTATATCCTGTACCTGACACCATGCCTGGCTCATGCTGGGGGCTTAAGACAGATTTGTTGAATGAATGATTCATAGTGACTTCCTAGGAGCTCTTGTCCCTCAGTTGCTCTGGTATTCTAAGCAGCCATGCCACGACTGTTCTGTGCTTCGCTAGAATCAAAGTTCAAGGAGAGTGTCCAAAAGAGAAAAACCTCATGTACCAACAACAAAGAGGCTAGCTTATTGTTTTGTAAGTGCTCTCTGTTCTGGTCCTATTTACATACACCATTGGTCCAAAGCAAAAGCACTTTGTTATAAGTGACTTTAGAAGTCCTAATCATTAAAATTGAAAACTTCCATTTAAGTCAGACTACCCCTTTGTGATATTAAAAGTATCCCCCTCTGTGTTTCTATCCCTCTCTCTCTGAGACCTATTCCAGCTTTTAACCTGGGCTTTTCATTCGGAACCCCTTATGATCTTTGAGCTGTAATTTTCACGAATGGGGCCCTGAAGCTCTTTTTTGTTTACCACAATTGTTCATTTCATTTCTGCATGTATTTGGTAGATGAATTTCCTGTAACGTCTTACAAAATAATGCTGTAACATCTTGTAGTATTAAAAAAAATTGAAAGGCCAACAAAAAAACCTACCAAAAAAAGAAAATAATAGAGCAGTTAAAATATTTAAATTACTATTAGAAAGTTAAAATGTAAAAACAGGAAGTATACTAGGTGAGAATGTTGTGTATCAGGGCCAGGACCGAAGGAAGTGAGAAATGTGCAGGACTGTTTTTATATTTTTATATTTTTTAATTTTTCAATTATTTTAAAATTTGATATTTTGTTCACTGTGGATTTTTTTTCCTTCAGTGCCGAGTATCAAATCCAAGGCCTTGGACATGCTGGGCAAGCACTCTATAGCTAGCCCTAATTTTTTAAATTGATTTTGATTTTTAAAAAATATTGCATGAAAATATTAGTGATTGTTCCTCAAAAGTTAAACAGAAATACCATATAACACAGTGATTCCTGGTATAAACCCCCAAGAATTAAAAAACAACCAGGCACAGTGGCTCAGGCCTGTAATCCCAGTGGCTTGGGAGGCTAATGCAGGAAAATCTTGAGGTCAAAGCCAGCCTCAGCGACTTAGTGAGGCCCTAAGCAACTCAGTGAGACCCTGTCTCTAAATCTAAATAACATATAAAAAAAAGGACTGGGGATGTGACTCAGAATGCCCCTTAGTTCAACCCCTGGTACAAAAAAAAAAAAAAAAAAAACAGGTGTTCCAAAATGTATATGCAAGTGAATGTTCATAGCAGCATTATTCACAATAGCCCAAAGCCAAATGTCCATCAACAAATGAATCAATAAATTGTGGTAGAAATATACAGTGGAATTTTATTCAGCCATAAAAAGAAATGAAGTTCTGATACATGCTACAACATGGACAAGCCTCACCAACATTACAATATATGAAAGAAATCAGTCACAAAAGGTCACACGCTATATGATTCCACATGTATGAAATATATGGATAGGAAATACAGGATAGGAAAATTTATACAAATCAAAGAGAGATTTGTGATTGCCAGGGGATACGAAGAGGGGGGATGAGGAGGAGCTGCTCATGGGTACAGGGATTTATTATGGATTATTGACAATGTTTGGAGCTAGATAAAGGTGGTGGTTGCACATCGGTGCATGCTACTGTATCATTCACTTTTAAATGGTTAATTCTATGTTATGTGAATTTTACCTCAATTTAAAAATTTGTATATATTACTGATCTTGATTCCTGAGTTTTTTGGATATTGTGTCTAAGGTGAGACCCTTATTTGCCACTCCAAGTCTTCAACCTGCTAAATTTCACTTTTAACTGGAAATAAGCAGGGTGAGAAATTGAAATAATCTTCATCCACACATGAACCTGAGGATGAGTTCCAGGTAACAAAACAAATCATTTTTTACTCAAAATTAATTACGGCATGTGCCCTGCCACATAACACCAGGAAGGCCCAATTACCTGAATCCCTGCTCACCACCTTGACATCATGTTGCACTGGACAAAACACAGACATACTTTCTCCCCCATTATTGTTGCTAGGGAAAGTTTAATTAACTATGGAAATTTGTGAATACCAAAGGCCACCTATGGAAGGAGAAGAAAACTACCCCCTTTGATTCTGGTTCATGGAAGTAAACATTGCCAAATTCCCTTTGAGCCTTTATATCCCATATTTGGAGAACAAAGCGATTCTTTATGAGTGTGGTGATTTCTTCAGATAATTCCTTCATCTTCACTACAACTACTTCAGAGGCTTAAAAAAAAAACACAAGTATTAGCCACATCAAAATAAAATAATACATGTCCTTAAAATACCTCTAGATAGTCTTTACACCATTTTAACTTGCTCCTAAAAGCCAACACATTTGAAGCAAACCTAAATGGATACAGTTTAGCTTCCTCCCCCCAATGAACATTCATAGTCTGCCCCTCATACAAATATGAAGGGAGCTCACACTAGAACAATAAACTCATGACAAGTTTTCCAAAAGCTATTGTCCCTACTAAAGAGAAGCTTATCCAATTTGAGGCCAGCCATAACCCCTAGGGTACTCCCAAACCATATCCACCTCTGAATATAAATTTAATAATGCTATCCTGGCAGCTATCCTCTCTCATAATGCATAATAGAGCCACGGGGAAAATAAGCTGCCCTTGGACACCAAACCTATCTCTGGCACTTCCCTACAAAGAAATAAAATGCTATTTTATTTTATACAAATCCAAGAAAATATGCTTTGGGAGGAGTGGCCCTGACTAAGAGTCAGCAAAATGACTTTTGTAAATAAAGTTTTATTAGCACACAGCCATGTGCATTTATTTCTGTATTGCCTGTGGCTGGATTCCTACTACAATGGCAGAATTGAGTAGTTGTGACAGAGACTATAAGATCCACAAATCCTAAGAGACTTACTATCTGGACTGGCCTTACAGGGAAAAAAAAAAAAAAACTGTCAACTCTAAACCTAGACCATTTATAACTCTACGCCCTCCATCCTTCAGGTACCCATTTATAGGTGTACCTGTAAATTGTTGACCTCAGATGCATTCCATTTGGGTTCAGTCTATCCTACTAACTGTACCGGTCAAATAGGAGCATCCCAAGGGAGAAGGATCCTGAGACACAAGTCCTATAACACTCCCATAAGCTTATAAGACAAAAACACTCAAAGATTCCATCTTACCCTTTTAGGCAGTCCCCGTTATTCCGAGACATGTATTAGCTTCAGCTGATTTCCAACTCAGCTATCCTTGGCTCTGAAAAGCTGTCATCACTGGCATCACTGTATCTATCACTAGATCAAAAGAGGAACTAATTTAACAAGGCATAAAACACAAACAAACAAACAAAAACCTAGGCAATGATTCAATTTTCCATTCCAAACATGTTCCATAATTAACCTCTACTCAGAGAAAATATTAGGAAATATTCTATTATCACGTTCTAGTCACTACAGAAAGAGGTCAGTCCAACCACAAGTAACAGCTGACTTCTTTGGCCAGAGAAATTGATGGCGTGCTTTCATTGAAAATTGGAAGTTACTTCTTCAGAAAATTTAGAAAAGCATTTCAATTTAAGTTGAAATCTATAATTTTCTGAAGACCACTGATCACTTGTATATTTCAACAAAAGCCTTGATTTCCCACCTGCCAACCTTACCTATTGTTTGCTGTCTACTGGAGGTGTTCTATTAGTAAATTGATTTAAATAAAAGCCTGAGTTGATGCACCCTTTTTATTCTCTGTGAATCTACTCTTGTCCAACTAAGGGCTAAATAAAGCTCAGTCCATCTGAGTTTGAGCCACATTTAGACCTATTCCGACTGACCACAATTTTCTCAAGTGCACAAAATATTACATGGCTATTTAGAGCTCTTTCACTTTTTGCCCTTCTGATGACAACTGTTTCTTTGGGCAATGAAGGGAGTCCAGGACACACTACTCCAGAATACAGCACCTCAGCAGAGTGACAATATTAAGCCATAGGATGCTGAGAGACAGTATGTGCTAGAAGGTCTCCTGGACCTTCCCCTGCCCTCTGGCCCTGAAGCAGATAATAAGAACCTCAGTTGAGAGGTAGTCTCCCTAAACCCCAATGGAAAGGAGTATTCTTCTCTCAGAAAACACTGAGACACAGAAAAGAATAATCTGAATAAAATGACCTTGCTAAGTTTCCCCTGGTTCATTACCATGACACTATACTCACTGCTCTATTCTATTTCTCCATGACTCCCCACTCTTCATTACCTGCTATAGAAAACACTAGGGTTGCTGAGCACGGTGGTGCATGCCTGTAATCTCAGTGGCTGGGGAGGCTGAGGCAGGAGGATAGCAAGTTCAAAGCCAACCTCATCAACTTAGCAAGGCCCTAAGCAACTCAGCGAGACCCTGTCTCTAAATAAAATATAAAAAAGGGCTGGGGATGTGGCTCAATGGTCGAGTGCCCCTGGGTTCAATCCCCAGTACCAAAAGAAAAAAACACTAGTGTTTATCTGTTTGTTTGGGTCTTCATTTCCTTATAAAGACTCCATGTCACATAAAACACAAATAAACGTGTGTGCTTTTCTGTTGTTGATCTATCTTTTGTTATAGGGGCCTCAGCCAGAAACTAAGATGGTTAGAGGAAAAGATGGTTTTTCCTCCTCACTGGCCACGTGAAAGGATTAGAGAACAGTAAACACAGCTGTGTGTCCCTGATTCTGTTAGTCAGCTGCAGGTTGGCTTTTGCCTCTGTTTAAGAACTATGGCTCCTCCTTAGATACAAAATTCTGCTTGCCTCTGTGCTTGAGATAACAGCAGCTCCTCATTACATGGGAACCTGTCATCTATGGTCAGCACATTCCACAGGGAGCTTGAACTTGGTGGTCATTAGGACTAGACATGCGTGTTGGCTCAAGACCCAGGGAACACCAGCAGTGCACCAGAGTGCTAATGCACTCTCTAAACTCACCTTGAAATCTTATCCACTTCAGATCATATTTTCACAATGATTTATATGTCAGCAGCATGAAAGTTTTCCATTCCAACAAACATTCTCATTAATCCAAGGTTTTGAGTCACATATAGCCTTCAGAATAGGACCGATTATTGACACCTGTCACCATGCTGGGTTCCCTTAGAAATACATCTTCACCGTCAGTTACCTCTGCAATTGAACTTTTGCTCTGAGCCATGGGCTCTGTTTGGGTTTCCTTTTGCTTGGTTTAAAATAAATCAGCACATCGATGAACTCCACTAGAGTTCTACTGATCTGTGGAGACACACTGCCAGGAAGCGTTCCATGCGTGACCCATCCCTAACCTTGGCCAAGCTTTTGCTGAGTAGTAACAATGTCTGAATTTCATAACAGGTGAAATCACCACCACCACCTGCCTTTTTCTTAAATGGAACAGTTGGAGAAACTCTGTGTTGACGGGCTAGAAAACAAAGAGTTTATTCTCTACCTATTGAGTGAAAATCAATAAATAGATAAACCAAATCATAAAAGACCATCTATCTTTTCTGGTTTTCATTCTCACTGTCCTCCCTGACTTTTGGACAAACAGCAGAGGTACTGGGGCACTACAGCAGGGAGAGGAGATAGAAGATTAAGAACAGGTATAAAAACCCAGAGTTGGTGGCACACACCTGTAATCCTAGCTACCCTGGAGGCTGAGGCAAAAGGATCTCAAATTCAAGGCCAGCCTGAGAAACTTAGTGAGACCTTATCTCAAAATAAAAAGTAAAAAGTGCTGAGGATGTGGAGCTCAGTGGTAAAGAGCCCCTGGGTTCAATCCCCAGTACCAAAAAGAAAAAGAAATTGTTGGCAGAAAAAACAAGATATGTTAAATAAGCATATAAAAATATATCCTTAAATTCAATAAAGTAGAAAATGCCACCTAGTTAGACTTTAGTTCAGGAAAAATCATTTCTGTCACACAGAAATAATCATTTAAAAGGAAAAAAAATAAATTTATTAAAAAATAAATATTCTTTAAAAACTTGGCCAAAAATTGGATATAACCTCTCCCTACTCAAATGCTCAATCCTTGCTGGTTCCATGCTTCATTTTGTTGTCAGAGAATTAGCAAAGGAAGGGAATTCAGAAGTTGTACTCAACTCCCTATAGGAGAAGAAATGAAGGTCAAGGGTGTTCAAGTGACCTACCTAGCACACAACTTGTTTGAGATGGGGCTAGAATTCCCATCATACTAACCCAGGCCACAAATTCATCTCTAAGTTGGGCTGCAATGGGGCAGCCAAGCCCACCAGGGCATGTCACCTGACACTACAAGTGAGAAGGGGCCAAGGACCAAGGGACCTCCATTTCCTCAGGTATCACATGGTACACACACTTCCTTCCCTATTTCTAAGCCCTGAAAGGAGTAGGGTGGGCTCACATTTTTCCTCTCATATTCCCCTCACACTATTAATAGTATTTATTTATTTACATAAATAAGTATTATGTATTAACCATGTATCTTTGGACAAGGTCACTTGACTCCTGAGACCCAAGAAAACGTGGCAATAATAAATTACAACTTCACCACAATGTTATGAGGGCCAAAACAGAATATACATAAACTTGCTCTGAAAGTTACATAAAAACATAAGTTGCTACTATTTATGAGGGTTACATATTCATACTGATATCACCTGCAAAACTCGTGAAATATAAAGAATCAGTTGAAAACTGTTAAGTGCATGTTTTTCAGAATTGTTTCTGGTACCAAGTGTAATTCCCTACCCACATTAGCCAGTGGACTTGTGTGGGTCTGTTTTGAATATACTGGGTCTTGATTCTATCCAAAGGGTGTCTGCCCTGAACTCTGCTAATACATCGAAATGGCCCAAACTGATATGACAAAATGAGGCTTAGCTTGAGTTTATGCATCTGCAATGCTAATGACTGGGTTCACCAATTTTCTTTTGTATAGGTTGAGAGATAAGCCATGACACTCAAGAACAGAACTACTGTTCTGTAGCTCAATGGCAGAGCATTTGCCTGGCATGCATGAGGCACACAGAACAAACTTAAAAGAAGTCATAAGCTAAATTTATCTGGGTGAATTTTCACTTAATTTAATATATATCAGCTCCATCTTAAAACTAACCCATCTTTTTGAGTAATCTCCATACACACACAGAGAGAGCTTCTCAATGGGAAGAATTATCAGATATTAGATTTAAATTCTATGAAGTACCACAAAGTACAGACACATTCAGTGTGCCTTGTTACATTTGAGAAGGGGAAGGTTTTAAACCTGAACTGTTTAATACAGTAGCTACAAGCCACAGTGGCTATCTAAATTTAGATCAAATAATATTAAAAATTCCATTCCTCATTTGCCCTATTCAATTGCTCGATAGCCAGGTGTGGCTAGTGATGGCAATATTTAATAATGCCAATTATTAAGCATTTCAATCATTCCAGAAAGTTTTAATGGATAGTGCTGATTTACAAAGAAATGAATAATGAGTTTTTAAAAAACAAACTACAATCAACATGCAATGGTCCTCAGTGTTTTTAAAGGTCTGGATACCTATAGTTAAAAATCACAGCAAATATCTCTCATGCATACATGTGCCCTCCCCAAATAGTAGAAACTCTTCTTTTAAGAAAGTATCTCACAGGACCATTTCTTCAAGACAAAATGAAAATCAGCAGCAGCGACTCATGGAAATCCCTATCCTCAGGACACTAGCCTGACTTAAAAAACTTGACCACAATGGTCTCCATGTGGTTGAGAGACAAAAGGCTTATCATAGTCAAGCGTATCTGTCCTGGCTCCTAATAAATTCCCATTATAAGAAAACATATTCCAAGGCTCCAGAGAAAGGGTATAGTAATGCCTCATATAACCCACCTTTTATGCAACCTCAAGGCAACCATTAAATCACTTCTTCATTAACGGAAGGAGGTGGTTGGAATTTAAAATATTTTAATGGCATAGTTAGGATTCCCAGCATGCATGAGTTCCTACAATACTTTCTATCAGAATCCATTTCATGTGAAAAAGCATGTCTTAAAACACGTTGCCATGCACACAGTTTTCCCCAAAGCATTGTTACTGCTATACTTACTTCCTTCTCAAAGGGCCCCTGGAAGCCATAAAATATAAGAGCAATGGAATAAAAACTTAGTATGCTTTGAATGAGTTTTGCATTTCATAGTAAACAGTAGAATCGACCCAGGCAAGGCATTAAAAGCACAGAATTCTGTATTACTTTGAACTCCACTCTGGCTGACCCCACATCATCAACACTAGAGTTAATCAACATCAATAAAGAACGTCTTTTTAGCCCTATATAACCC